ATATGTTAAACAAATTCGTAAATCAAAAATTAGTATGTGTGTATATACACCTGGTGTAAATTAAGAAATTTTCTAATAAAAATTATAAAATATAAATTACATCAATATATATTTAATTTATTAGCATAATAAATTATTGAAAATATCCGAAGTGATGTCAGAACCAAATTGTGATGGGTCTATTTCTTGAAGAGGAGATTTTTTTTGACTTGATCTTATTTCTTTTAATCCCTCTAACAAATTTTCTTTATCAATTTTGCCTGTGGACAAACGAAGCTTAGACTGTTTTGTTGAGAGTGACATGTTTGGATGTGTTTTGAGATCCAATTTGTTGAAGAGTCCTTCAACTTGTTGTTGATGGATAATAATAAAATAAATCCGAGTTCTGATAATTTAGGAAAGTTATATATCCATAATTTATCATCTGCACAAAACTCTTTAAATTCCTGAAGAAAATCTTAATCTTGTAAAAGTAATTCGTACAAACCCAATGTGTTTGTTTTTCCATTTCTTAAATCATTATTCAGCTCATCTACAAAACGTAATTCCAAGTCATTTGGCGGTTTAATCCATGGTCTTTTTAATACAACATGATAAAAGCTGGAAGCAAAAGATCTAGCATTATAACTGCCAAGATGGCAAACAACTAATAGTAAATAAAGCCAAGGCGATAACTATTTTTCAAAATGATCTAAGGCCTTAAGTATTTTTTTTTTTAAATTATCAAAGAATGTTCCAAATTTCTCACTATTTAAAGTATCTAATGCTTCCAATAATTCATTAGAGAAAAACATTTCATAATTTTTAGTTACTTCTTGAAAAAATTCAAGCCACTCACAAACCTTATCAGGCATTTTATAGGTCTGACGGCCCGAAGGTAGAGTAACAAATTGATTATTTTGGTTAATACGTGGAACTTTATCTTGCCCAATCATGAACTGTATTAATGGCTCATAGAAGTGCTCAGCAAAGTTTATTAAGCATTTTATTTGGATATTTAATTTCGAATCAAGAAGCCAAGACTAAAACAAACACCAATCATTAACATATTGTTTTGGAGCATTGTGACTCTTCATTTCACTAATAAACTAGTTAGTAAATTGGATATGAGCTGCACATCGGTCAATATACTGTTTTGCTGTTCGTAATTCATAACCCAAATGTGTACGAAGTGGCAACTGGTATTGGTTATAATGAAATCCTAACAACCCGTTATATAGATTTCTTATTATTTGTGAATTAATGTTCAATGGCTTGTTCTTATCACTACAGTCATAACCATCATATAACTTCCATGCAAGATATAATAAATTATATAAATGTGGCTTTCTTGAAAACCCTGTAGTGTTTAAAAGCTTTCCAAATGCTTCTTGTTCAAAGTGGGTTATTATGATTTAAAGAATATAAAGCCCACAGCCAATCCGTAATGAATCTACATTTGCTTTTCTGTTAAACAAGACAACAGCTCCACCTTTTTTGCCTGACATATATGATGTGTTGTCTGTTGTCCAGATCATACACTTCTTAATGTCTAAATCACATTCGTTAATATGGTTGATTATAGCATCAGACACAGTGTTAGTATTACATCTTGCAATCTGGCAGTTATTACACTAGGAAATTGATCTCCTTCATTCCAATATTGGTAACAAATTACTAAGTATTTTATTTGTCCACGGGTTGATTCATCAACCATGATACCAAATACTGATGCATATTTGATTTTGATTTTTTTATTAAATTCTAGTTCTAAAATATCATGATGCCAAGTGTGCAAAGTGAATGTTGACAGCCAATTTTGGGGTGGTTCTCCTACAAGAAATTCATAAACCAATCGCATGCATTCAATTGTAGAACGTAGTGATACCTGGCCCACTTGTAAGATATTTGCAGCAAGCCAAATTGTATTTGAAGAGTAGTTTTTTGTGGGTTTAAAAATGGTTTTAACTTTTTCCGAAATTCTTCATCACTAATTAGGTTTGAGTGTCAAACTAAAGAGCGAATTTTGGCAATATGTTTGGATTTTTGAATTTGAACATGTTTGCCCTTTGCACCAAGAGATTGTGTTCGCTTAATAAGTTCTTGGTTTTTCTAATAAAGCTTGTTATTTTTTTTTACTAATTTAGAACTTGAGTCTTGTAGTGATTGATAGTCCAATTTTGGTGTATAAAGGCTTTGGTTAAGATAATCATATGCCTTTCATTGCAGATATCCTTCCTATATTTGAACCTTTTGGGTACCGCATTAATGAGATAAGGTTGCTTGCTGAAGATAATTCCTTATTCAGTAATTGACTTATAGTTGAAAATCAAAACTATGTGTGGTATCATAGAAAATTCTAATATGACAGATTTTTAAGTGATTGTGCCCTGATTAAATAATCGATGTATTTTATATATAAAATGGGTCACATTGTTTTAGATGCACAGCTTGCATTTTTTTTTTTTTCTCAAAAATTTCAATACAAATCGACTCACGCTCCTTATGACTACAAAGTTACAGTTGTTAACATTTGTGGTGTTTTATACTCTGATATTCGTGTTCGCTGATTTTTTTTAGTATCCTCTTCACTCTCATCGTCATCATTGTCGTCATTATCAATATCGTTCGCTTCTAGTGAAGAATAATTAATAAACGTAAGGCTAGTGGATCAGGAAAACCGGAAGCAACTTGGATCCAGAGCGTCTATTCACAATAAGTAATTATCATATACCATTGACCAGTGCATACAGTATTCAAGGCCCTATTCAAGAAATTTAAGATTCTATTTTGAAACTGAATTATAATTCATTTCTTTATGTAGAATATCTTTCAGGAAATACTTTATGTAGTAGAATAATATCTTTTTAGGAGATACTATATGCAGTGGTTCAACAATAAATAATAGGATTAACTAATTTAAATAAAGGTGCGTTGCCAATATAATCTGAGCCGCTCTGGACAAGTTATAATAATCTGATCATTAAAAATTACTATCAATTATTGCTTGAGTCGCCGCCAACTTTTCTTCAATTTGTCTCCTCTGCGATTCCTTGGCCCAATATATTTCCAGAAAATCTTTTATATTAATTTAATAAATTTAAACTTCGAGAGAAAAAAAAAAGATTTACAGCTTTTTTTATCTCGGCCTTCTCTTTTTTTTCTCGTTCTAAAGCAATTTTCTTTGCTTTTGCCTGTCTTTCCAGCTTTCGCTTATGAAATCCCGTTAAATATTCTCTATCAAGGCGAATATCAGAACATTAAAAAATATAATTATGAAGGTTTTTAAATATACACATACCGTCTTGCAGTTTCATCGAATACAATTTCTGGAATTTGATTATTTTTCCTTTTACGCTTTTCGGAATATATCTTACTTCCTTCTGTTAATAAGGTTAAGTTGTCCATATTTTATTTTTATTTGTTGCTTGTATTTAAGTTAATCAGACGTAGGAATAAATGGTTCAACTAAATCATTAAATGATTATCTATTAGAAAAAAAAAAACTTTTGACCAATTAGATTAATTAACTGTAATACAAAAAATTGTCGGTTATAATCCATATCGATATTATTTAAATAGTAAATGGTAATTTATTTAACTTCAAAATTGCTTTTTTTTAAATTATAATACTAAGGGCAGTGACAAATATTAAGTAATATTCTGGGGTCTTTGATATCTTATATTAGAATAAATTTATAAACTAGCCAACCAAATTTCTTGTTTTCACACTCTTTCTTTCCTATACCCTGTAACTATTTTGATTATTTTTAAGGATGGAAAAGGCCGAATAGGAACAATCTTTTTAACCGGTCTCATGGTTATTCGGCCACCGATCTCCGGACTGGTCTTCGTAAATAGTCAAAAAAGTATGTTAGATAATCGCTTATTTTACCTACATATGTTATACCGATACTGTATGATTTAATTCTCCTCGCTAGCCAATAAGATGGGTCATTTTGGGAGGACTGAAATGGACCAAAAAACATTAATGAACCAGTCTTATTAGAGACTGTAACGAACTGGTATTTGACATCTAACCAAATTTATTTAAGCTCTATCGCTATATATCGATCTATCCGTAAAATAAAAATTTTTATCAAAGTTTTGTTAGGTGGTTGATACCATCATTCAAACTTTTTGAAGATATTTAGAAATTTATCAAATTTTACGATAATCTAATGCCCAATAAATGTTAGTTTGTTATCCTTTGTTAATAGATAAAGAATTTTACACTTTTATGATAAAGTAAATTACAAATTGATGTATTAAGGGGTCTAAATATTAATGTTATAAAGGATCTTAAAATAAAAGAATCAAAAAAGCTAATGTGAAATTCTGTGCTAACTTTTTAGAGCACACGTGATAAAGCGAAATTAATGATGGTTAACGATAATCCAACAAACGTTGGATAAACCATTAAGCTATTAGCGTTTGAAGCCTTTGTAGTAGAGCTAGGCGCATTCGTGGTAGTACTCTTGGCAGGAGAACTATTACTTGTAGCAGATGGTTTATTGGGTGCTGGATTACTTGGTGCTAAAGGAGCCGAAGAAGCTGGCGAGGTGGTAGTTGTATTAGTTGCATTATTGGCATTGGCATTACTGGTCAAGGTGTTATTAGAATTGGCAGTAGTGGTAGGTTGTTGTGGATTATTTGGATCAAAGTCTTGTACAGTGCCATTAACACCTACGATACTAAACGTATGAGAATATGCTGTATAATTATTCTTATCGTTACAGATCTTAATGAAACTATAAAATTCATGTATTCAATAACGATAAACATTAAAAATAGATCAATATTGTGTAAAATTTTGTAAATCTTGTTCGAATAATATGACAAAAACATACTAGACATCTGATTCAGGTCCAACATTCTCGGGAATAGTACACATAAATGCGAGGGCATTAGCATCAATTTGAGTGGCAAGTGTTACTACTTGTTGATGATTACCTACGTGCGCATATGAAAAATTGGTTAAATTCTATATCGTGCGTAACATGATAATACAATTAATTAATTACGTACCAACCATCAAGAATATCTCAAAATAGTCCATTTGACTCAATAATGGAGAGATGTTGTCCTCTTGCCATGTGATATTCCCCTTTTGACCTCCAGTCCATATGGTTGTTCCGAACGGCTCTTTAATTGTGCAACCAGCATAAATAGTAGAAATAAAGAAACAAATACACAATAAAACTGTAGATAATTTCATTCTAAATGATAAAAATATGATGTTTAACGAAACTGTAAAAAAAAGGATGGATGAGGAAAATAGGTTCGGTTGAAGAGATGGGTTCAGCTGAAAGGGTGGGATAAAAAGATTCGGCTGAAAGGACGGGATGAAGGAAGAAGCAAAGAATACGTAAAAGTTATGAGATCAACTGAGAATTATATACCATATGTATTTATAAAATATTCAGTATCACTGAAAAGACATACAGAAAGAAGCAGTTGAATTTTACACAAGCGAGTCTCATCTCAGATACGTTAATTAAATTACGCAGTTAATAACTTCTAACCTGGCACAATGCAATATTTCGTGCTAAATAGATCAAGTAAATGCATCATTTCGAGCGCATTTTCTTTCCAGATGCACTGGAATTAAACCAACTATTAGACTAATAATTAATATCTCGTTTATAACTCGTCCAAGCTGCACTGCATTTTTACAAAGATTCATTGGTATCGATATCATTGCATCATATTGTTGAACTACATATTTGATGATCACTAATAAATATATGCACTCTATATTAAACGACTATGAAAAAGAGACTTTACTTTGCCTTTAATCTCTCTCGCAATATTAATAGAAGTTATCTTTCCATAGTAATAACATTGGAATTTTATTTATTTTCTAAAATTTATCTTGTAAAGATTATTGAAAAAAATAAAACATGAGATATCAGTTTCGATCTAAAAAGTATAATAGTGCCTATATATATTTTAGAAAACTCTGACAAAGTATAAAAATCTATGTACGTACAGTGGTTTCAAACTTTCGGTTATAGTCATTTAATAATGAATGAAGAAGCTTATATTAGACCACTAGTTATTTTTTATTTTGCCAAGTAAGAAAGCTGTTAAGTATTTTACTGTATATGTTTTTTCTTTTTGAAATATTATTACTTTCTAATTGCTTGTTAACTTCAAATTTTTGACATTTTGTCAAATATCTTGCAACATATTTTGAGAAATTTTATGAAATCTATTATCTGAACCAGAGAGTTGAACACAAGATTCTTGTAATTGAGTATTCATATTAAGATAAACCTTTAATTAAATAGTCCTTCCAGTTGTTGTTAATATACCACAATACTCCATATATGAAATTTATATATTAGAAAAAATTTTACAAGTTTTGTGTCATCAAAATTTGCAAATGCTTTGAACTCTTCAAGAAAATCATCCAATGCCTCTAGTAGACCAAATATAACTAAATATTAATTAGAAATGTTTTTTTTTAGAGTTTAGATATAAGAGATCTTTTCAAAGTAGAAATTTTTAAAGAATTTTTGTTAAAAAATATATATAAAAAAGTATAAGCAAATTCTGGTTTACTTTTTTCATCTAATTAATAAATACTTAAAAATAGTTTTTTTTTTTTTTTTTTAATAACTTCGGCAACCTTGCCAATACTTTATTAGGTATAAATCTCACATATCTATTTTATACTGTATCTATTTCATGAGTGAGCTAACTTTAACACTGGGCTAAACATGTTACTCCTAAATTACAAGTATTGACCCACCTAGCTTTTTGCAATGAGAGTTTTATATGACAAAAGTTCAAATTACCTATATGCGATCTGCTATAGTAAAATTTTCTCTCTATACTAAACCCTCCTACAAATAAAGAAGTCCAATATATCACTGAGCGGCATTTACAGCCATCAAGATTGCCTCCTCTTTTTAAACCCTAAATCTTCTTCTTCTAACTTCAGAAAAACTCCTAACTACTCAATAAAAAAAAACTTCAAGATCAAAGAAAAAAAAAAAGAAGTTTAAAACTAAAAAAGAAAATACCAAAACGAATACTACAAAAAAACTACACAAAAACTCTAAAAAAGAAAAAAAAAAAAAGACAAGATAAAAAAAGAAGAAACAAAAATGGCAAAAGCACTATTATAACCTGTGCCAGGTTCAAAAAATATTATACATATGACTTTGAGATAACGTATATCTCACATGATACTAATGAAAGCACTTAAAACGAACTGAAAACCCTTTTATGAATTAAATTCAATAATAGAAATCACTACATGCTCTGCACATGTTTGTTGTTTCCCTAATATGCCACATCGCAATAACAACTTCTAAAAATAGAAGTGGTAAACAATATCAATCATTTGGAGAGGAGTAGCCAAATCCCCACATTTTTTCAAAAAAAGTTGGTAAAAATGACGATGGAATAAAAATAAGTGCAGGAAGTCCAAAACCTCAAGAGAAAGTGTTGAAAACTAGAAAAACTGATGTACCCCTAGGTCCCAAAAGAGTTCTAATAATTTTGTCAACAGAAGAAAATATATTTCCACCAAAATTTCCACACCTAGGAGCACCATCTGCATTTTTCTCCTTTGTGTGATTTGCTTCTGGCTTGCATGTTAAATATAGAGAAGAGTTCCCGAGAGAAGGTTAACACTTTGTTTGCCTCTAAAACTACTATTATAGACCTCTTGGAACTGTAGACTATAGAACTTCATTGACGGAGATTTTGACCACCAAAATTTTTTCTGGCCAAGAGTGCCATTTACATTTTCCTCTTAACAAGGCTTTTGGCTTAAATGTTAACCTTTACTACAAACCATTACTATAGCTACTCAACTCTCCACCAGTTTTAATATTTTTCTTTTAGTAAAGAAAATAGTACAGGTGATCGTTAAAAAGAGTGTATACTACTTAAAAATAGTTAAATCCAAATCCCCATATATTCAATATATTTTCTATTCTAGTTCATAATAACTTATGAAAATTTTCAAAATCTATTGTGTTTAGCATTGGCTAATTTATTTATTTATATTTTATAGATAATATTTAAGCTTTTAAATATATATACTAGTAGATTTTTGAAGTTGGGTTATACTTGGTTAAAAAATTATAAATAAATTTATAAAACTCTTAACTGAATTTAACAAAGTATTGTATTTAAAAATTAAGTTGCTTATTTATAAACTACTTAAAAAATAGTTGCTATTTATATAGGTATAATACTGGAATATTTTTAGTATTTTTAAGTTGTTTAAGATTACAATATAATTATTTGCTACAGTAAGAATGTTCATCTTCAGAGTTTAAATAATCATATATATATTTGTTTATATCTATGTAAGGCATTAGAAAATTATTAAATGATTAATCATATAAAATTTAAGAACCAGTTAAATGAACAATTTAATAGATTTTAATCATTTATAAAATTTTTTACTCGTTTAACTGTATAATATAAATAAATGGCTAAAGGCGATTAAATGAATAATAGTTTCAATCTCTATTTCTATAATCAATCTTTTTTGAAGTATTGTAAAATTACAAAACATCGATCAATATGTTGAACTTTAAATTTTTTTAAACCAGGTTTTTTGATATTGCTATTATAGAGTCGTGATTTATATATTTTATATTATTTTGTCAAAACCATTAACACTATTTAATTTTTGATAATGCTTATTATATAAATATAGAAGACTAATTGAAAAAATATATAATATATATATTCATTATTAAAACTAAAGTGTTTTATTCTTATTAGATAGCATATAATCTTATTATAGATAGCTTTAATTTATTTGCTTAAACTTGAATCTCTACAAGTATTAAACAATAATATAACTACCCAACTATTCTAGCTACAAAAAAAACAATATTCTATTTCAAAGTAAAAAATTTATATTTTTGTTCTTGCAGTTTTTTTTGAGCATCTACATTACAAACTTCAGTAAATTTAAATTTTTTTTACTTCCAAACCCAATTTCATAGCAAAGTACTAAATAATATAGGCAATACAGATAAATATTTATTTTTTTATTATATAAAATTAGCATATATTATATATATAATCTATTTTCTATATTTAATTATCTTTTTGTCAGATTGAATCGAAGAACTATTAGAATAACTATCTTCATTTGTATTTTTAACACTGAATTTGTGTTTGTCTTATTTGGAGTGACTAAAAATTCTTCAGAAAGTTTGAATAATTCGAACAAATTGTCATTATTCTTATCTTAAAGTTGGTATATTATTTTAAAAGTTTTCACTAGTCCACACTATATACAAAAAAGGTAAGTAATAGAAATGCATTGTAGAATAAATCATTAATAACACACCTTGAGATCCCAAAGAAGAACAATGAAATCAAAAATATGTTTATGATATTCCTCATAGCAAATTGGTACAATTGACTTATATGATCGTTTATATTGCAAAACACCATAGGCTAGATTATGCATTTGCTACAACTTAATTCAGTCTTTTATAAATGCAGAGTTAAACCATTATTAAGAAAAAAATTTAATAATTAAATTAAGAAAAACAATTAAAAAATTAAAAAAAAACAAAAAAAAAAATTTTTTTAAAAAAAGTATTTACCATATACATATAATAAAAAAACTCTTATTTTTAAAAAAGTTTCAGGAGAACTACTTTGGAAATGCTTACCAATTTCTTCTATCATATAAGAATTTCCAATCTGCAATTTACAACCATTCTATGTAGATTGGAAAATATCAGTATGCCTATATTTACTACTTATTTCTAAATGTTCTACTTCAATCATTTTTTTCTTTAATTTTGTAAAAAATATTCCATCAGATTTCTGTTTATAAAAATTGTTAGATTTTCGTTATTTTCTGCAAGACTTGACATTTCTTCTTCCCTTATATAAAAATACATTAATATATGATATTTATAAAACATCAAATAAATAGGATTAAAAACTATTTACATATGATAGTATAAACAATATTTTTCTAACACGAAAAGCATTTTATTTAAGCAGAGGTGTATTAAATAGCTTCTGTAATTTGCTTCAGATGTATAATAGAATTTTCCTTAAAAATATATTTATAACTATCGATAGAAATTTTAGAATAAGCAAACCAATTTTTGATGTTTTCAAAAAAACAAAAAGAATAACACTTACAATAATAACAAAATTTTTTATAAAAAAGGTAATGAATAGATCTTCAGGATTTAAAATTAAACACAGTTTCTTGATTTTCTCTGAATTATCTAAGGATTAATCATTTCTTGTCAGGTTAACTTCTCTAAAATAGTAAATATGTGTACTGAATTTAAAGTTGTTTATTTCAATTTCCAAAGATTTCTGTTATAGATATTGTTATATAATTTATATTATTTGAAAATCAAGTTAAATAAATCAACAGTAACTAGATAATGGTAAAAAAACATACTATTTTTAAAGTTTGATAATTTCTTTGGGGGAATTATAAGGCTCAGACATCTTGTAAAGGCTTGTATTTCAGCATAGTCTCTATTATCACACTACCTTGGTTTTGCAATTTTGAATCCATAGCAAACAATTCCCTAAACTTCTGGCCTGAGTTAAAAAAAAAGTAAAGTTAATATGCAAATATGTGCAAATAAAAAATGTTAATTGTATACAATTCACCTCAGGGAATGACCTTTAATTCTTAATGCTTGTTTTAACATGTCAATAACTATTGTGCCAGACTTCATCATCCAATTCTTCCAAGAGTTATAATCAAAAGAGCATTCAGAATAGGGGATTGAAGTTTCATCTGTTTCCTGAACTACTACCAAATCAATCTCCATGCTATTATCATAGTTTGTAAGTTCTTCCTCAAAGACTGTGCAACTAGATCTTGAAAATTGTAGAGACAATATTTAGAAGTTACAATTATAAACTATATTTATTCTCTGCTCTTACTTTAGGCGGCCAAATAAGAGTGTCTACTATGTTGTTGCTTTCATGTAGTGGTGTTGTTACAAGTGAACTATAGTTTTCTTTAAAATATAGTACTTGCAACACAGCACATAGCAACAGGGATCTATGTAGGGTCTAGGGTTCCTACAAACCCAAATCAAATCAAACTTTAGGCCAAGTTTGGGTTTGATTTGATTTCAAATCAAACCCGAT